CTATACTTGTATTACTATTTCTGTATGCATGCTTTTCTTTTACTCATCTCTACTTATTGCTGCGCTTCAAGTATAGAAAAGGAAGGGGCCAAGTTTAATCAAATCTGAAAATCCAAAAATGCTTTCGTATCCACTTTTAATTGATAATGCTGAATTAAGTGTTTCTGGCATGATATGGAATTTACTAGGATTTCGCGGTCGAAATGAACAATTTTTGCCAACAGTATGGAAAAGAAAACTAACGTATGAAAATCTTGGCGAAAGTTTCAGAATATTTAGCCGTCATCAGTGGTTCTGGCAATTCACGAAAGTATTGCTTCAACAGGTCGGCTACATCATGAACCTGAAATACACGGATGTGTGTGTGTGTGGAAAAAATAGAACAAATCACCATCAGACAAGCCGAAAAATAGGCGATTGAGATATAAGGATTAAACAGGTTAAATAAGCAAAATAGAAATATAATGGAAATCTCTTCGCATTGATTCTATGTAAGAGGCAGAAGCATTTGGGAAGTAGCCCGGGTGGTAACAAATCTTAAAGTAACCACCTGCAGGCAAGGCTGTCAGCGGCTCCCCTTTCAAGGGCTGTTTTGAAGTAAGCTGATGACAGGTTTTATTTCGTCATATATATGCCAGCAAACAAAAATTAAAAAATTAGCTTCAATGAATTAAGAATAATAGTTTCGAGGCTGATATAATGCTGTTTAGCGCTAACTCAGGTTCCAGCCAATTATTCAGTTATGCAATAAAAAAAACTCTCATTCTACAATTAGTTTCAGTTGTAAAATTGGAATTATCAGGGATCAGAAATTCCTCAGCTTACTAACAAAGCAATCTTTCGAATTAAAAGCAATCCAGGCTGGTGATTATTGCTAGGCCAGAGCTATCACTTGGACTATTTCCGGGTGCTTTTATTTCGAGAAAAGGGTAAATGGAAGGGGGGGGGGAGCCAAGACAAGAGCGAGACGAATCAATATCATCAATAAAGAATTACTAAATGTAGTGGATATTCAAAACTTTACAAGATAAACGAGCGATATATTCCCACGAAAAAAGAAATACTATTTCTCTTTATCAACTAACCTGAGTTGGATCAAGATCTTTACCATCCGAAAAAACTTCCGTTTCCGGAGCAGCATCACAAAGCATACGAAGCTCGCTGATCCGCGAGCGCACACCACTTTTCCGGAAGATTCCAACCGTATCCGGAGCCACGGCTCGCAAGAAGCGCATCATTTCGAGAACACATCGTGGTAGTGCAAAGCCGGACCGACTTTGTGCAATGGCCAATGGCAGTCCAAATGTTGAGATTTCCGCTGAAATTTAAAATTGTATTAGAAATG